GCTCTTGTTTCCGAACACGAGCCGTCATGAACCCAGTTTACAAAGCGAAACCCTGTCGCCAAACCCTCTTCACTGAGTGCAGACTCACTCCAGGCGAAGAACTAAGGTTCTCACCTGGGTGCCAACCGTCTACGGCCAGGAGCTGAGGCTCGCAGCCAGGTCAGCTCACTGACAGCAGGAAGACCTTGCGCGCGCCGCAGCTGCCGAGCCACGTTGCGCCAAGTTTCCATGGTGGTGAGGTCCGACGATGGGTATCCTCCTTGGTTGGTGTGTGAGGGCCATGCTGGGAGATATTTTCTGTTTCACCATGTTTCACCAGGGCCACGCATGTCTGGGGATAGTGACCTATGATGACCGCTCTATCCATCCGATTTTGCATATTTGCACACCCCCCAAGCTCCCGCTGCTGCCTGCCCGGGAGGCTATTGGGCGGGTGTGAGCAGCCTCCCCTGGACGAGGGAGGTTTGTGGGTTGCCTGCGCTACGCTTATTTGCAATGTCCACCACCGTGCCCACGACCGGCCACAGTCGCCTCTGCTTGTGCAGCCGTGTGTAACAGCTGTGCCTTAGGCAGGCTGTTTTCCAAGGCCAGTAAGCATTGCAACTGATGATCGTTAAGGATCATAACTGATCTGAAGTGCTGCAAACAGTCCGCACCAGCTGAAACTGTGGCTGAAGTGCTTGCAACCAAACCTGGCAAGGGCTGACCTGCGCCTTGTCCGCTCCTGAAGGCCACTGGCGAATGGCCTTCAAGGGTAGCGACTCAATGTCCCATTACATTGTATGGCAAATTTCGTGAACTCAGGCCCGACTAGTTAGTTAAACGATCTTTCACGTCTCACCAGTCTCACCTTAGTACAGTGCGAAACTCTGCCCATATTGGTTGTAGGGGTCTTTTGGTGCTGGTTTTTGGGGGTTTTTGTTTGGGGGTTGTTGTTGTGTTGTTTTTTCTTGTGGTTTTGCTCCCCTCACCAATATGCAGAGTCTCCATCCTTCACATGATGACCTGCGCACACCGCACACATGGCGTCCGTGCTCGTGCAAAAAAAGCCAAGATGTTCACCACTCAATCCAAGCCGAACGGAATCATTGTTGGGACAGGATGCCCCCCGCAAATCTGACCAAGAGCTTCTCCAATCACAACGGAGTGCGTTGCTGGACAGTCGATCACTTCCATGGATGCGAAAAAGTGCAGGTAGCGCGCCTGTACAGAGTTTGGCCTAGTACCTCTTTGTTGTGGGACTTTTCGTTTTTCTGTCCTTGGGGTTGGAGCTGAGTGGGGATCTTCCTCCTTGGAGTGTTCTCTTTGACCACCTTAGCAGGACGAAGTGGAATGGGACCAGAAGTGGGCAGGAGCATGTCTCGAAGCCCTATGTGAGTGTTTTGAGATGCTTTCTTGGACTTTGAGTATGTTTTGGATGACTGTGACCAGTCAGACCTCTTCAGAGAAGAGTGGATGAACAGAGATACAGTCAAGCCTACTGTAACGTTGGGTTCAAGAGTGGGATTCAAAAAGGGGTCGCAACTGCTTCCGTGTTTTCAGATGGTAGCGGACTCCGAGGCTCCCAAGAGTGAGGGGCAGACGCTTTGTGAGAAAGGAGAACTGTTTGTAGGGTTTTCTCTGAGCCGTTTTTGTGAGCCATGGAGAGTATGACTCCTACGAGTCCAGCTGTGACGCTTGGACCACCCACTGAAGCCTCGAGTCCGCCTGGAGTGAGCCCTAGACCTCAGATGTTTCCAATGAGTGCAGGGTCAGGATCATACAAGTGTGTCTTAGGAACTTTAGAGGAGGCCTCCACTCCTCCTCTGAGGCCGCTGCTGGATAAGCCCGCTTGCTACATGAACTCAGTTGTCGCCGGCCTGGTCTGGTGCGCACGAGAGGCAGATGGCTTGAGTGAGGACCATTGGTCCAACTTTCCGGGGGTCTTTGGGAAAATTGCAGATGTGTCACAAGGGGGCGAACCGCTTCTTTTTCTGGTCTGACGGGCAATGGACCACCTTTTTGTCCAACTGGCCGGAGCCCCCTAGACAACATGATGCGACCGATTGTGCTCACCATCTTCTTCAGCAGCTGAACCCCAATTTTCTCAGCTGTTGTTGGGAATCCCGGCTGGAGCAAGACGGAGAGATCCGTGTGGTGGATCAAAGCGCCCTGGGGTGCCCCTTGTTACATGAGCAGTGAACAAAAGAATACACTGCTGCCCACTGACTTGCAAGGATTGATCTCAAGCTGGAGCGTGGCTTCTTTCGGCCTCCACGGTTTGACTGAGCCGGCAGATGTAACATGTCTCCATATTGACCGCTTTGACCCGAGGGGTAGGAAGAGTCACATACGCCTCTCTTGCGACTCTAAGCTGGGGGTCGATCACACCCCTACCAGGTCACAGCGGTCTCCTACCACTTGCGGTCTGAGCCAACCAGTGGTCACTACTGCACTGCTGTCGTCGAGGGTGGGTTGTGGTGGACCTTCAACGACGGCAACATGCCGGTGAAGTTCTCGACGGTGCCGCTGGTGGTCCAGGAGAATCGCTGTCTCCTGTGGCTCAGCTGCATGCCTCATGGTGGGGCAGAGCAGGTTTCTTTGCCGGCGGAAGAGTCCCCCATCCTGACGGATGAAGAGAAGATGAACAACATCATCCATGACCCCTCCATCAACGATGATTGGCACGCCAAGTGGCTCCGGCACTAAACTGCCTGGACACTGGCATTCTGGTGGGCAGGTGGTGTGCCTGCCAGCCACTTCATGGCACTGACTTGACTGAGGACCACCCGTGTCCATGCTTGCGACGGTTCGGCTTTTCGACCGAACTTTCAGCCGCTGAAAGCTGGCTGGCCCTACGGGGCCCAGACGAATCAAAGGATCCACGCTGTCATCACTCGATGAGCGTATGGAAAGAAAGAAAGAAGGAAGGAAAGAAAGAAAGAAAAAAAAAAGGAAGGGGAGGGGAGGGAAGGGAAGGGAAGGGAAGGGAAGGGAAGGGAAGGGAAGGGAAGGGAAGGGAAGGGAAGAGAAGGGAAGGGAAGGGAAGGGAAGGGAAGGGAAGGGAAGGGAAGGGAAGGGAAGGGAAGGGAAGGGAAGGGAACGGAACGGAACGGAAAGGAAAGGAAAGGAAAGGAAAGGAAAAGGAAGGGAAAGGAAAGGAAAGGAAAGGAAAGAAAAGGAAAGGAAAGAGGAAGAAAAGAAAACAAAGAACATAAAGAAAAAAAAACACAAAAATAAATAAAGAAAAAAGGCAAAGAAAGGCAAAGCGAAGCAAAGCAAAGCAAGGCAAAGCAAAGCAAGGCAAGGCAAAGCAAAGCAAAGCAAAACAAAGCAAAGCAAAACAAAACAAAACAAAGCAAAGAAAGAAAAAAAAGAAAGAAGAAAAAAATCAGAAGAAAACAAAAATATATAATAAGAAAAAATGATGATGATGATGATGCCGAACAGTGTCGGGCTCACAATGGGTGAGAAGTCATCGCACGGCGTGTGGCAAAGCGTCAAGACTGAACACGATAACATGAAGCCTTTCTTGGGGGAGATCGTTGCACCGCGTGAACGGGTGGCATTGAAGTCCGCCAATTTCGTGAAAAGGTTGAGTTCCAACCACTACACTCCATGGTCTTCATGGCAATGCGTTTGCAATGGTTTCAGTGTAGATGGCACAAACCCCAAGATGTCTTTAAGATGGGGATCCATATAAATTACCTTTTGGGGATTGTGCCATCTACTCTCCACGTGGAAACATGAACCAGCAAAGGTTCCATTTTTTTAGTAGGCTGATTTTGTATATATTTAGTTCAAAATGACCAAAATTGAACTTGAATCGTGTTCGCGTTGTTCGATTTGAGTGCGTGATGCAATGAAGGTGGGATGAGCACGCGGTAAAATTTGTTTTCGACTGAGGTCACTCGCTTCCTCTCTGGGATTGCAGGCGTGTCTAAAGCCTCCACTTTGATGTGATTGTACATGGGGAACGGTTGTCATGCACGGCTGCATCAGCCTTTCGTCCATACAGAATTAGTGTAGGTTTCATCGTGCATACACCTCGCTCCTCATTGTTTCCGTCAGCAAGGGGTCTTTCAGCTCAGTGCCAAGCGTTGGCATTGGTTAAAAAAAGTCTTGGCCCATGATGTCTTAGCGCTTTTCATTTCCGAGCTTTGTTTGTTCATCAGCTCTGTTGGCCGGTGCATCTTCCATGCCCCACTGGCCAGCTTTGTTCATTCCCTTCGTTGCCAGGTTCTTTTTGCATGCCCTAGCGACCTTTGCATCCTACCCTTCGCCCCAACTTAAACCAAAAATTTTCCGCGCAAACACTGAGCCGACTAACGCCCTTTTTCTCAGCTCAGTGTCCAACGTTGCTAAGCATGCGCTGGCCAATACACGCCAGCACAAAAACAAAATTAATCGACGGTTCTGTGGGCAACCCGCACCGGTCGAAACTCCTACTTTTGCACCTGCAAAAACCCAAAGCCAACTCCGTAGCGAAACTCTTTGCACATTTGGCAACGACCCTAGCGCCAAACTGACCAAAAGGCGGGTTGCTTGCTTGCTTGTTTGCTTGCTTACTGGCCTGCTTGTTTGTTTCTTTGTTTTGCAGGCCTCCTTTTTACTTGCAGCGTACCGGCTGCACACTGGATGCCGTGTTGCTTGACGGTTCCAAATGTGTGCCAAACGGCCAAGCGTCCCAATCAAATAGTTTGTCCTTAGACTCGCCTTAGACTTTCAACAGTGTTGTTTTTTGCTTGGAATTCGAGAACATGTGGTCATTGGAGTTGTATATAGTTTGGTGCGAACATGTGGGTCCATGGTTTTGTTCATGGTGCACTTTGGTTGCCTGACAAGGGTTCCATTCTTCGTGACTTGACATGAGTTCTTTGCCTGGCATTTGCTGTTTTTTGTGTGTTCGCAGATTATAGCTGTGCCGAGATTTTCCCGGACCATCATGGGATTAACACCAATCAAGAATCTCCTCTAGCGGTTGGGTGAAAACCACCAAATATGTCACCACAATTGAAACAGCAAATATGTACCACTTATAGTCACCAGTGCCCCCGGGATGTCTCTGAAGCCGATGGCTCGGCATCTGCGCAACATGCAGGTCCATTGACGAACCCCATGGACCATGATTTTTTTTTGTTTTGAAGATGCATAAACCATACAGAACATTGGGTCCTCTCACATGGTGTTGCCATTCGGATGCAGCACTTGAAGATATTGGCTTTTTTCCGGACCCTTCTTTCTGGGTCGCAGGTGATGGCGATGCGACAGATGTTTCGCCCGTCGCGCTACAGGCGTTTTCGGTGCTTCGGCGGTGTGCCGAAACCCAACGCGCCGAACTCGCGTCGGATGGAGGGGATGGATGTTTTCCATGCGGTCCATGACCACTTGAATGTCCAATGCTTTTTGGGACGATGTTCGAACGTCTCCGCTGGAGTGATCTTTTGTCTTCCAGGCTGCATCCTTTTGCTGGAGCTGCCCGTTCATTCGCTGTGGCTGCCAAAGAGCCTGAGGAGAGGTGACAACCAACTGAATCATTGTAAGCTCAATGTATATGTATATAATATATATATATATGCACATAGACCCCTAAATAGATAGAAAAGTGAAAGCCCCTTCAAAACGTATTTAAAGCCGTTTCTATCTATTTGGGGATCACTATATACCGCTCGGAGCCGACTCATGGGACATGGGGCATGGCAATCATCTCTTTTATTTTGTGCCCTGCTTTCGTGACTCATGCTAGCCGTTTTCTCATGAACGTTATTCTTTTTACCGAGCAGTTTGTTTCTCAAAGACGATGTGGTTTGCCAAGCAGGACTCACCAGTGATTCCTTGTGTTTCAACACGTGCCAGAAGCATTGTTGAAAAAGAACCTGTGATTCTGTGAGTACCACACTGGTGGCAATTTTGAAGGGCCCGGATCTTATTGATGTCTTGAGTGTCCAGATATGGCATTGATTTTGGCTGATTCGTCTCCTGCAGGTATCACCTTTTCCACAGAAGTGCGCCCTTTACTTTCCGCAATGGTGAGCAAATCCCCGAGTGGCGAACTTACGCCATTTTTGGCGGATCGTCGGTTGCCAGCGGAGCAGGATTGTCAGCGGAGCAGAATTGCTGCGCTGCGCCTTTCATTTGACTCGTCAGGTTGCAAATTGCCTACGAAACCTGGGGTCACTTGGTGCGGCCCTCATCCAGCAACAGCAAAACAGATCGATTGTTGAACAAAGCAGATCCGATGTGAGTGACCCTGTCAGAACAACAAGAAAGACAATGTCATTCTTTTGCAGCACAAAGCTCAGCAGCTTTGTTCAGATCTTTTTCATCGACCACACCACCATCTGACTGCTTTTCAGACACCAATTATTTTTCAGGTGTGGTATGTCAGCCTCTTCCCATGCTTGCTCTCATGCTCGGAATCCTGCGCCGGGTTGGTGGGAGGACTGCACCAGGTTGCTGTGTTTGCACGCGACAGATCTGCGGGGCTTCTCCGATGTAGCCCTCGCGAATGACCTGCGATGTGGAGGAATATATCGGCCCTGGTAGACCTTTGGACACGAATTTGTTCTATGCCTTCAGCCTCAGATCCGCCTGAACCGATGTCTTTGTGGATCGATCACTGCGGCATGAAATGAGGTGATTTGCACTAACAACCTTGGTGGGTGCTATGGTTCAAGGCCCTTTGATTTGGACAACATTGACTTAATAAGTGCAAGCGATCTGCGACTCTGCCCAGTGGGCCATCTGCGATCAACAGCCACACCGGCCAACGATATGGAAGCAGCTTTCCGCGCTTCGAGGCGGTGGAGTCTTTCTCAGAGATTGTGTTTTTCACATGGATTTGAGTGCACCTCGCTCTGTGGCACACAACTCACACAACCAATCAATGTAGATGCCCGCATGTTGCAATATGCCATATGCTTTTGGCACATCTCATCTCAACTTCTTTTAGAGGAGAGGCACTTCCCAGAACCGTCAGGTGCAAGATCAGGTAGCAGCACAGTTCGTTCTCCTAGACCACTTGGGAATCGACCAGGTTCATGCCTGTGTGGAGAACTGAGATGGACCTTCGTTTTTTTTGATGCAGTCTTTTGTCGACCAATGGTCTGAAACATGTGCATTTGTGGCCGTTTTTGCTCTTTTGCTGGTTTTTAGAGGTCTGAAACATGTGCACATGAGTCTTTTCAGGTTGGTGCATCCTTGGGAGGCCCCTCTTCGGTGGCTGCTGTGGTCGACCCGCCGTCGAACCGCCTGGCTGGGCGAAGCGGTCACTGCTCCGTCGCTCGTGGTGTCGTCAGGCATGCAGAGTGTTTGCGCTGCCTCGATGTTCCCGGACCGTGCCAAGAGCTGAGCAAGAAGAAGAAGAAGAAGAAGAAGAAGAAGAAGTGCACGCTTCTTTTCGTCACGTAGAAGAAGAAAACACCTCCTGATGTTTTTTGTTTTTGCCGTGTTCTTAGTTTCAATCCTTTGTGACTTACTTGAGGTTCGCAAGTTTGTTTCGATCTCCGCCTGCTCTGAGCTCAGCAAGATGAAGCTTGTTCATGGTTTACGTCTGGGAATACACCCCAACCTCAGAACTCAGACGGCTCAGATCCCAGTCAGACTGTTTTAGAACATCTTCATGACGTTCATTGACTATGTTGAAGACGGTAGAACCGCCGCCAGTCGAGCTTTGGCTGAAACGGGGGGTCCTTCCTGAATCCTTTCAGCTTTTCGCTGCTAAGAGTGGCTTCGTGCAGGTGCCAAGAGCTTTCCAGGTAGTATTGCCTTTCGCCATGCCCAACGTCAGGCTGGACCACACACACAAGGAGTTGGTGGAATAAATGTTCTGAGCTGGCAGTGACACCAGCAAAACGAGTACGAAAGAAGTCTCGTCTTGTCAAGATGTTGAGATGAGCATCCCTTGGCTTTCCTGGGGCTTTGTAGACCGATTATACACAGACCAAATACAAGCACCCACTGCAGGATGAACAGAATAGAGCCTTTGTTATTCCAGTCGTGTCACAACTTTTGTTGACTTGTACTGCTACACAACACCATAAGATAATATCAAATCCTTTGGATACTTTCCCGTTCAACAAACACATCACTACGCTGCTACGTGTCTTCATAATCGCCCGGTGCAGGCAATCATGTCAGATCCCAATTGGCGAGGAGGGGTGCCAGCCTCAGGATGGAGGTCGCTGATGAAACCAAGGCGAAACCGTTCTTGTTGATCGAAAGACAGTTAAAAAGGGAGAAAGCATTCAAATCCCTTTTTCCTAGATCTCCCTGAGTGGAGGAACGTTGCATCAATGAAGCTGTCAGGAGTTAGAAAGCAGAAGAATTAAAAAGAAATGAGAGCCGAGGACTACTACGATGGCCAGTTACCAGCAAATGGCTTGAGATTGGCGCGGCAGCCACATCCTCAACTCAAGCAACACCAAGTCTCACACCTCATCCGCTTGTGGGTCACGTTCGCTTCTCTCCAACTGGAGGGGCCCTCTCCATCTATTTCTGGGGTGGACAGTGGGTCGCCCTCCGCTTCTCTCACCCACCGGCACCCAGCCCGTCCCAAGGCTTGGAACGATCACCTACCGCTCTGGTCTGGAGTGCGAGACCTCAGAGCCACACGAGCACAGGAAAACAGCCACATGACTCAGCCTGCCACAGCCACAGTCAGCCTGCCACAGTCAGGTTTCTGAAAGGTTTAGGTTCAGGTGTGAACCTTCCGAGAGGTTCCGAAAATGGCTCTGCCAGTACAACCTGAAAAAGAAATCAATATTTATTATATACCTTTAGTTGTGAGGGTGTATTTGAGTTTTGCTCAAACACAGGCATGTGGCACACATGGTGGCTATTCCTTTTTCCTACGGGCATGAAGGTGGGTGTCAACGGGGGCTGCGTGGGCAGCCCCGTAAACAGGCTCTGCTGGCTTTCCGGTGTCCCGATTGGATGGAAGAGAATAGGGGCGGAGCTGTTGCCATTGGATAGATGGGTATTTGATCGAAAGAAAGAGGATGTACCTGAGCTCTTGCCGATCACTTGGCCGCATCTCTCGATGCGGCGACAGCCGAACGAAGGCAGTGGAAGCCGAACGAAGAGACTTTGTATTACCATAGAAGCTGACTTTAGCTTGTAAGGACACCAGGACATCTTCACTCACCAATGAGTCCAATTAGCATGGTTGCTGAGATGGCAGCAGCGCTTTGGTCAGAGCTTGGCCAAGGGCATCACCAAGAGAGAAGGCTGGGAGCCGGGTTTTGGGCGGCCGCTTTTTCGTGGGTGAGTTTCTTCTTTCAATCTGAATCGTGGTCGGCCCAACGGAGTCTTCCACAGCTGGGGAGGTCTCAAGAACGAGTTCATGATCGAGAACTACCTGGCTCACCAGGGAGAGCTTGCTCCTCACAGTCAGGGGGCTGACAAGTCGAGTCTTGAGTTCGCAGCGAAGATTTCGGATCGAGCGACTGAGGAAGTGGGTCAATGCCTACGACCCCAACTCACTCTTGTGGATCTCAAAGGCCCTGCGTTTTTTTCTTTGTGTTAAAGCATCACGGTTTTGTTGCACGAAAAAAGGGATCAAGAAGGGGAACGTCCATTTTGTACCAAGAGCAAAGACGAGGTCGTTTGATTTTGAACCCTCTGACCATTGCCTCCCAATCATTTGTACCACTGCTTTTGACCATGCACCGCGTGAACTCTTTTTCGCCCTTCTTGGTCTTCGACGTCTCCACAGTATGTTGTTTCGACGCTTCGACGTCCGTGGTTTCGACGTGGTTTCGACGTCAGGCCATGGATGGATTTTCGCTGGAGAAGCCCGACAGGGACCACGCGCGCGCATGCCTCTCACGTCGCGCCTCTCGCGATGCCTCGTTCGCGATTCGTGCGACGGGAAGGCAATCCGTATGTTAGAAGAGCGCGTTGGAAGAAGAGCGAGCGTTTGGTTTGGGGCGACTCGGTCTCGTGAGGTTTTTGTGGGAAGAAACCATCCGAAACACGGCCCAAAACAATCTGCACTGAACGGACTTTGTGCGTTTTCAAGGTTGAAAAGGTGTACCGAAATGAAGCATGGGTTTCTTGATGCTGGCCTTGCAGGATGGCAAGCCCAGCCTTCTGGAGGGTCTGAAAGAAGCCATGATGCCCGCGCTGGTCATCGGAGTGCAGCATGATGTGCCCCGCTCGGATCGATGGAAGGCGGTCTCCCGTTCATCCGAAAGGGGTCGACCGTCCATGTGCGGCCTGTTTTTTTTGCAGGGAGTCTTTTTGGTGGATTTCGAGGGATTTGGGATTTTGAGACCAGGAACGAAAAAAAAGGAAGCAAGAAGGACAGTTCCATCCCAAAAAATCAGGGGGCCCTGCTGCTGCCGGAGGTACTGTTTCCCGTTTGGCAGCAGAAGGAGATTGCCGACACGTTGCGAAAGGACCTGTCAGAGATTCCTTGGACGTGAGGGATGGTGATGTATACCTCGTTTTACGGTAAGCTGGGAATGGACACTTGTGAAACTTCTCGGGTTCCTGGGCTCTCCTAGGAAAGTAGTTTTTGTACCATGTCTCAATTTTATGATCCAGTAAAGATCAATTGCGGATTTGCGGGTCCCTTTCCAGAGCAGCGTGACTATCTTGCATGTTTCCAGGCAGGAAACAAGGGAGTGGTCTACTACGAGCTGGACTCCATCTACGGAGTGATCCCAACATTGTTTGATCGCTTCAAGAAATATATGATGTGATGTTCAATAGAGGGGTGCGCTCCACCCTGCACTCACCTCTCAAGCTGAAGCTTTGTCAAACATTGTGAAACCTCCCACCTGAATCAGTACAGATTGCAATAGTCCTGACACGGAATCAGTGCACTTTTGGCACAGACTCTGTTTGGCCAATCTCTGGGATGTTGTGGCCTCTTTGTTGGGCGCAACACCTTCTCATCTCGCTTCATCCGCTGCTTCGCTCGATTCGCCACCCGCCAGCACGACTCCTTTTTGTTGGACGCCGTGTCCATTGGCCCGGCCGTGAAAGGCGGATGAGTGAAGAATCGGGTTAAGCCAAGGTGTTTGCAGACTTAAGTTCCAGAAGCATCCGATCAGCTTGATGATACGGTTCCGTGTAGGTAGCGGCTCTTGGACTTTTTTCTTGGAGGATGCGAGCGGTGGACACACTCGTGCTGTCGCGACTTGTGGCAGGCCATCTAGAACAGGAGCCTGACGGAGCACGTCACATTTGGGAGGATGCGTGGGAAGGGATCCCTGTGCTTGGGCAAGTTGGGCTTAGGGATAGAGGTGTTCAGACGACCAGCAATGCTTGGAACAGCTGTAGTCTTTCAATCACCGGTCCTATTTTTGGACAATCTGTGACATGTAGAGCACATCCTTCCGATTCTTCCCGTGCCTCACTTTTTCTCCTCCTCTCTCAGTGTGAGGAGTTGGCGAGCAGCGCTGTTGGATTTCTTCAGGACCGCTTGTTTTGGGGGGAGGAAGCGGCGCCATGTGGGCGTTTTTCGCTCGAGCGTGTCGCATGTCTTTTTTCTGGGAAAACCAAGCTCTTGAGTCCAGAGTACTTGTGCTTGCTTCAAAGACTCACCGCTAGCCACAAGCAGCCATGTTTAGATGTTAGATTCGTCTGCTTTGGTGCTAGTAGCTGCTAGTGCCACTTGCTGGCATCCAATCCTGCGAAAAAGTCACGACGACTACCTGCAGGCCATCAGCCAGAGGGGAAGCACCGCCGACAGCATGAGGGACATTTTCCGAGCGCTGGGAAATGGCGAAAAGGACCGGGATCTCGTGTGAAGAGCGTTGGACGAAATATCCACCTGTGCCATCGGTGCACAATACCTATCATGGCTTTGGAACCTAGATGAAGGGACCGAGACCACGGCATGCAGCATCTTGGACCTTCAGATGAGTTCATGAATATGGTTTAGATGCCTTAAAACGCTAAATCCGCATGCTTCGGGTTAGTTATGCTTCGTCCCTACCAATGCTTCGATGCTGGGCTCTTGAACCGACACGAGGTCACGGGTCCACGCGAGGTCACGTGACACGAGTTCGTTTCGCACCTCATGACGCTCCTGGGCCTGGATCCGGGTGGACCTTTTTGCGAGGTCACGGGCGCCTTTTGTTCCCCAAGCAGTTTTACTGTCGGGGTTTTCCCCTAAGCATCGATGTTTTGGGCTCTCCGTCCGTCCCAAAAATGGGTGGTCCAACAAGGGCGGCGGGTGCCGCGCGGACTCTCCGCGCCGGCACGGGACGTGGTGAGGAAGCCTTAGGACCAGGTGGGACATCCATCCCCTGGTCATTCTTGAACTCGTCCAGCGCGTGTTCCTTCTCGTCCAGCGCGGAGGAGGTGGAGCGCGATCGGCTGAAAGCCATGGTGAAGTTGGTGTGGTCCGGTCGCGTCAACGAGGCGCCGGGTTTGGGGGGTCCGAGCGCCCTGGAACACCAGAAACGCCAAAGAGACAAACTGCCCCAGCTTGGCCTGAAAGGGTGCTTCTTTTCTGGCAGGGCATGTAGTTATTGTGACTCAAGTGCAGCAAATCTGGGTATACAGAGGTAGACTGACCAGCGACAGGCAGCTGTTGACAAAGCATTTGAGTCAATGGCCAAAGAGCCTTTGATGGAGCCGGGACCTGAGTGAGACTCGCCCGACGACTTTGGGCACCCCACATGCGGGAAAGACTCGCACCAAATTTGACTCAATGATGACATAAAGGCGACAGCAGCAAAGGGCAATGCTACTACGAGCAAGGACGCTACTAGTAGCTCCTGGCAATACTACTAGTAACAAGAAGCTACTACTGACATAAAGTTGACAGCCTGACAGACTGACAGACTGAGAATGATGCACCGAGGCTCAAACAGTTCATGGACATGCGACAGGCGCCAGAAACAAACTTCTCAGAGAAGAGACCGTATTGGAATAGGTAGAGACAACAAGTATACCGGGTTTTAATGGCGTCTATTTTTTGTATTCGAGAAACTTTGGGACTTGTCCCATCATCGTTTTACATCCTCACACACACTCGAGATATTGCGTACGGAAACTGAATGCCACCTGCCACACGCCCACCTAGGTATGAACGCCTAAGAAACCAGGAGTAAGGTATGTAAAGCGGTCAGAGCATGAAGGTTTCAAATCCCATCGAGGTCGAAGTTCACGAAAAGCGGAAAGACGCGACACGATGACGACGATCGTGCACATCTGCAGAGCTCAGTAGCACTTTACAGCACCTAATGAACTTGGAAGCAGCCTGAGCGAAGGAGGACCATTGGAGTCCAATTGGAGTCAATGTGTTCAGAGCAGGTATGTCGATTTGGCGTCCCAAATCGACATCACCAGCGTGCATCCAGTGTCTTCGTTGGTACAAGACTGGATGGGATGCTTGCACCCCCTGCTAAGAAATCAACGGATTCCCTGTGATTCCAAGGGTTTCACACACACACACATGTTCAACACGGAACTCTAATCCACTGCACACAGAGGGAGGAGGAGTCCGAGAGCGATTGCACAAGAAGGCTTCTCTTCTGCCAGGGTTTTGAGCATTTGTAGCTTCAAAGGTGTATTCTAGAGTTTACAAATGCTTTGAGTCTTTGAGTGCTCTAGATGAAAGAACTATTGTAGAAGAAAGCAATGTTGAGCGACCCAAGACATTTTTTTCTTTTCATGCTGTTCCAGGCGCTGACGGAAGCTATGAGTGACACCTACTTGCCTTGAAGCAGCCATGATGCGATGCCATGGGAACTATTTCCAGAATTCTTCGCACCAAATGAAGGTTTTCCGAAAGATCCGCCATCCAAAGATCCTCCAGATGAACCTGTCGATGGGCAAATCTCAATATATAAGGATTATAAGGAAGGGCATGCATCAACGAGTATATATATGCATATTTTTATAGTGCTGAAGGCACTACTGGAGGTGTGTGGAAGGCACAGTAGGTATTTCTCGTTCTTACATTTTTGCCATAGCAAAGCTTAGTTGCAAGAAGTGTTTACTTCGAAAAAGGATGGTTGATGTTTGCAAACCGAGTTCCTGAAATCAGTTGAGACTTGCATACATTGGCTCGGCAACTTGTTTTCACACCTGAATTTCAGCTGGCGATATTGGCTCAGAGTAGAGTGGACAAGATTCCACATGATGCATTGGTGAAGTTGAAGGTCCAAGTGTGAGTCAACCAGAACACTCCGATGTACTTCGATGTATATATTTCCTACCAACATGAGAGGTCGTGCACATTTCGATCTTTTTGTTGACACCTCCTGCGAGTGGATGAAGCTCCGCGCGGAGCTGTTAACGGAGCTGTTAACGGAGAGCTGCTCCCGACGGTTGAAGCTAACGGCATGCTTCGCATGGAGGGCTGCTTCGACTCAATTGAACTTAGTTGACCTCAAGAAAAACTATATATTTTTGTCTGGGACGTGCTCGTTTGAGCACTTGAAAGGGGTACTTCACTGTCGTTTGACCGGACCGGAGATCGCCTGTGCTAAGGACTTGAAGCAACATTTGGAACAGCTTTGAGGTCGGCTGTCCAACAGCACCTCTTTGGAACAGCACATTCTCCCACAGCTTGCAGCTTGTGGAGGCCCGGCTTCGAGTCAGCCGGGGCGGCCTCAGACTCCGATTCTCGGTTGGAACTGAAGAAGGCCGTGTTGGAGCTTTTCGGAAAAAGCCACTCGCTGGGCACCGAAGCAAATCCCTCAAACCACCCAGGCACCATCCAAATCCCTTGCCACCAAACCACTCGCTGGACTTAAGGACTTGGGCGAGGTCCAGAGGCGCTGGATCGGTTGAAAACCGGATGGGTGAGGACTTGGGGATGAGGACTAGTGAGTCATGCGATCGGTCCTTGGACACCGGACACACAACTCATTGGCAAATTGGGCGTTTCTTTTTTTCTGTTAAACAAGTTGGACCCACACTCAGTTGGACACACACACACTTTTTTCAGGAAGCTTGAGGATTCCGTGTCCGAGGCCACTTGTTTGTGCAGTCTTGCCTGATCGGAACGGGAAGACTCGGTATTGCCCAGCACCGCCTTTGTTTCAGGTACAAACACAGACCTATGAGCAAGCCAGAGGCGTGGCTCAGAGAAGATGTCGAACTCTTATTCTGGCTAGGGCAGAACTCCTAAAGACTCGCAATAGGCAACCTCCCATTAGACACTAGGGCACTTGGGAGTTGAGCCATGCCAAGGTTTCACCTTTTGCCTCGTGTCCAAGCGTCAATCCAGTGAGCTGCTCTTTGCCAGACCTTCCAACACCCTCCTCAAATATGGGGACTTATGGGGATGGGTCGTGTCCACCTTGTTCGCCCAACCAGGGCCGCCCTGGTCGGCCCTGGTGCAGTATAGCGAAGCAAGCAGAACCCTTTCGGTCGCTCTCCCCCCATCTCCCCACTCTCCGGGGTGGGCCTGTGGTCGTCTGTGGTCAGGAGAAGCTCTCGAGAAGTTGCGGGGCCGACACCGTTGGAACAGTTTTTTTTTCGTGGCTGCCCCGATCAGGGTGCAAACCCGCAGCTGGCCGAAACCAAACCACGAAGCCGCTTCGGTGCACTCGAGGTTCACGAAGCCACTGCGAAGCTTTTTTCAGAATTTGCCCCCAAAGTGGCCAGTTGGGATGCAACCGTTGACCCCAGGGCGAGGTCGCGCCCCACATGGAGCTTGCTCGCGCCACGCGCCAGGGCGAACTTGGACGCGCGCATCGCAGAGCTGCTGCCGGAGGTGGAACAGCTCCGGAAGGAGCCCCAATCCGGTGGTATTTGGTTGGGGCAACTCACGGGTACCAGCAGCCAGCACTCACGGTACGGCATGGACAGAACTGTTGCGGCAGAAACATCGGTGTGCCGTTTGGTGCGGCAACTCACGGTGTGCCGTTCACCATGTGACTGCACGGTTTGTCGAGGGTTTGTCGAGGCTCCCTGGGTCGAAATGGGGACCCAGGATTTCTGTAGATCCATGTAGATCGTTTCCGACGTTGGTGCAAAACGTCTTGGATTCTCCTCTTCCTCCCCCAAAAGTAGGGGTGCCACTGGTTTCTTGAAACCCCACTCTCCACACGAGAAACCCACCTTGAAAGACCGTATACAGACCTTGAAACAACAGGAGCGCGAGGCTCAACATCGCCTCCTAGAGAAGCGCCTTGAGGAGTCCTGACGACGTCGCCGAAGTCTTGTTTTTGTCATTCGATGTGTTGTTTCGTTGCGTCCAGATGGAACATGGATGGCTTTGGGGAATTTTGATTCATCATAATATTCATCCAGGAATTGTTAATGACATGAATGAATGGAGGGTTCCTTTGCAGGACCTTGAAGCCAAGTTGCTGAGTAGAGGATGACGACCAGAGCTGCGCCCAGGTGTCCGAGGAGGGTCGATAGTGTCTCCCACAGTGCGATGAGGAGCCGTCCCGTGTGCTGTGGAGTATCCGCGGACCATTCAACATCCCACCTGCGGATGAGGGAATGTCCTAGACCCAGGTTTCTGCAGAAGGGTCTCATGCAGTGCTTCTCCAAATTGGTGGCAGCGCTGTTGCAACAGCCATGAACAATCAGGGTGAGCGATGTAAAACTCTGAAGCACCTTGGTACGTAGTCAAGGTTTTCAAACACTTACTTAGCTCGCTAAAGCAAACTTGTAAGTATGCCGAAGAGAGGCTGCTTTTCTTTGTCCAGTGCTGGATGATTCATACTTTACTTTGCTGATTGCGTGCTAGCCAGAGTGTTCAGACATTTGAATCAAGAGCACAGCCAAACTGCAAGATACTAAGCCCAGCTTTACTAGACTTTCCTGGGGGAAATCACACACACCCAATCACACACACACAGACACACGACCTCACTGAGTCTGCTGGCTTTCATCCCCCGAAACGAAAGCGTCAGTCTGGCTTTCGTGCACGCACCCAACGACCGCGATGTTGCAGCCAAAGAAGACAGTGGTCGTAACAAACCGCTTTTCCGCTCAGTATCCGGTGTACAAGGTTGCCACACCAACGACCTTAGCCGAGACCTTAGCTTGTCGCACGAGTCGACCACGGAATTTAAACCGACGTTCGACCGGGTCCGAGTCGTTGCCAAGCTGTTTCAAGCTGTTTTGGATGGAATTGCAAGAATGACCTGCGAAGCGAATGTCCTGACTAGGCAAGGAGTGGACACGTTGATTTTTGTGTGAAGTATCCGAGGTGAATGTCAAAGGAACTGGTTCCACCACGCATCGAAGTGGGCATACCACTCAGCGCAGTGGCTATCCCACTCAGCGCAGTGGCTATCCCACCCAGCGCAGTGGCTATACCACTCAGAGAAGTGGCTATACCACTCAGCGCAGTGGGTACTATACTCAGCGTAGTGGATATTCTGCCAGACATGGCTCCCACTCCGGCCACTCTTCCAGCCGAAGCTACTCTTGCATCATGCAGTCCAGACGTTCTCCACGACTGGGCACGTCAAGTTCTCAGGTGTCCCTTGCAATCTCAACAGTGCCGCCCGCGCCCAGCAATTCTGGCCGGGATGTGATTTTGTGCATTGGAGATAGCTTGACAGCAGGCAAGAAGGGTTGCCGCTCATATCCCTCTTTGTTGCAGAGACTTCTGGACGAAGAAGGTGTGCAGGTGAAAGTTCATAGCTCCGGTGTTTGGGGGGAAACATCGCAGGATGTTTTGAAACGCCTACCTTCAGCTCTACAGTCTGCTTTGGCAGAGGGGGGCCGGCTGGCTTTCGTGTTGGTACTGGCGGGCACCAATGACCTTTTGCATTCGCATCCACACCAATTGGACTTTCGAATTCCGCAGATTGTCAACAACATCCGGGCCATTTGTGAGACAGCGGCCAATGCTGCCTTCTTTCCACATGTGGGTGTCTTGACATTGCCGCCTTTGGCAAGTCGGAATACGGCTCGCCTGAAGCTGAACCAGCAGCTTCGTTATTTCATGGCCGGATATGCTACACAACGTGGCTTCAGCAAGCGCTTTCTGGTGGATTTGGAATCTTTGAATCCAGATCTTGCTCATGACGGGGTGCACTTCCATGATGAAGGATACATGGAATTTGCCCGAAGGACGCGAAACGCCATCCTTCCAATCCTGCAAGCAGAAGCAGCGTCAAAGTCACGGCTGGCTACCAAAAGTTGGACGGGCTCGTACAGAACGAGCTGATATAGAGCTCCTCTTGTCAATTCTTTGAGGAGCAGTCTTTTGCCTTTCCTTTTCTAGGAGCTGCATGTCAGATATGGGTGGAGAAAGGTATGTAGCTCGTAGTCTGAGTGGTGCGCACCCCCGGAAAAGACTGCAGCAGCCTCTTCATCAGACTTTGACATTTGTCGGACCAGGTTCTTTTCATGGACGACGGCGATGCATTTTGTACTTCCGCAGCCATCTGACGGCGATGGCTACTACATTTGCTCTCTCTCGACATGTGCCCGGCTACGCCAGCCGCTTTCTTAGTCTGCAAAGGTTCCACTGAAGCATCGCTACATCGACGAGACTCGACCAATCTTCAACGACCTGTAAAAAGTAACGATGAGACTCGATCTCTTCCCTCTTCAGGTGTGCCACCGGAGAGATGTCCTTGTCCGGCCTCGGAGGCTTTGGGGAACGAAGTCCTTTAATTTTTTTTTGCTTTTTCGGGCCGTTTAGGTGTGGCACCTGTGGCACTGCTTTTTTCTCTCTTCCAGTACTTTGGACCTGCGAGAGTTTCTGCCGCCATGTCAGTGTGAGCATGTGTGGCTGTGGCCGCGGACAGATGATTCTTCAGCACTAAATTGCCTGGACCACTTCAGGTGTCGGCTATGGTGATCCGGGTCACTTGCATTACCAGCATCACCGAGCGATGTATGGTGAGATCGAACTCCTTTTCCGAACAATGGCAGTGAGGCAAACTTAGCCTCAAGTTCTCAAGGTCATTTCTGAACAAAAGATGACAGAAGAGGGTCCGCACAACCACATCTCAAACAGTAAAAACAGTAAGCCGGTCATTGCCAGCATTGCGAAAGCAGCTTCACCACAAAGGACCTGACTGATCAAATTCGCTCTCAAGTCTTGTGACCACATGCTTTGGTCTACCAAAGGGGTCCCTGGTCACCTCCACAACGCTTTGAAAGCGCTTCGAAACACCGCGGCCGCGGGCCAACCCGGATCCCGACCTCTTCCTCCGCAAAGCTTGGAGGTGCACCGAGCTGCTACCAGCTTTTCCTTTTCCGCTAGGGCAGATGGATGCCTTGCAGGTCAGGGCGGCCGAACCAAGGGCAGGGCAGTTCGGAGGTGCCTTTTTTTCCATTTGTATGACACGAAGAAAGGGCTCCAGGCGAAGAAGTGTTGCGTTTATATATTATTATATCTCCAATGGCCAACGGGTGTGGTTTTCTTGAACATTTTTGATACTTTTTTGCATTTTTTTGCATGACCAGGAAGAGGGACGAGCAGACGAAGCGCATATGTGTGATGATTTTAGAACATATTTTGAGCATACAGAAACAGTCTTGAGAGAAGCGGTCGGTCATGTCAGTTGTTTGGATGGTGTCTTGGATAGGGGTAGTAGCAAGTGCCGGAACATACGGCGTGGTCTTATTAGCAATTTCACACTTTCAGGTATCAGAGGTGACATCTTCTCGTAACCGTCCGCAACCTGTTTGAGCGTTGGAAACTTCTACAAGCAGGCCTTCCTTGTGCCAGTTCCTACTTTTGGGAAGCAACGCCACGCGCATGCCCAGGCACCGTGCTCCTTAGCGCTTGCTCACGGACGGCGTGGCGCCGAACCGCAAGGCCACGAAGACCGATGCAGATCATCACGGAGTTGGTTCCACGTCCGGAGTAAGCGACTCTACACCAGATGAAGTGCCTTACTCCCTCTTCGCGGTCTCGTTTTGCAAACGCCCAAGAACACGGTGAAAGACGGCACCTCTTCGATTCGATCCACCCTGCACCGGGGCCCGGTGTCGTTGGTAAACCAGTTTCTTTGCTGTAAAACAAGGTCTATGATCCACTGCATGGGGATCTATCTTGTTTGGTGGCGATCAACTCATGCAACCACCGGTCCTCTTCCACCACCGGCGATTTGGTCCTCAGACTCCTCTCCGTTCGCCCCGTGGACGTCTCCACGCCGGAGGCGGGCCGTGGATCTTCCAGTGCGCGAGCCACCGGTGACCACGACGGTGGCGCTGCCTGGAGCCAAAGTCGAGGAGGCGCAGCGGGGTCGAGAGGCCGAAGGTGGAGGGTCTAAGGGCCGAAGGCGGCCGAAGGCGGCCGAAGGCGGCCGAAGGGTCGAGTCCTGTGAAAACAGGTCGGAAAAGGGGTCGCTCCTCCAGATGAAGATGTTGGACACATGGTGCAACGTGTGCTTTCCGTGCGTCACACATGGTCTTCCTTCTGTTCTTCAACCATGCCTTCCCTGAGATGAGGGATGTTTGCGGTACCGGAAACTCGAGTTTCAGAGACCGATACACCCTGTCGAGACGGGCCCTCCGCGCTCGCTTTTCGCGCGGGCCAGCGCTGTCGAGGAGACCAAACAGAAGAGAGCAGATGAGTACCGCCTGGTGCTCTTCAACGATCCCTTGAACAAGCGTGAGTATGTGGCAAGGCGAGATTCCTATGTTCGTTCATTCCTTGTCTTGGACTATCTTGGGCTCCGACCTTTGAAGAACCCGCCAAGTGTCCATCCTCATGAACACCATCCGTGCCCGTGCGTCTCTGCCCGGTTGTCGTCGCGGAAACCACCGGGCAGGTGCTTGATGACCATTTGCTTGCTCAAAGAGGGTGATGCTTACCAGGCCCCGACCTCGAACAGACGGGGCTCAGTCGGTCCGACCTCGCTGACCGGGTCGCGGGTCTCACGGGTGCGGCATGCGACCGGTGCGGCGTGCGACCGTGTCAGTGCGTTTCTGCGGCAACGAGTCCTGAGAGGTCATGATGAAGGCCCACAAAGAAGGTGTGGCAGTGGTTGGAACCTATGCATTTGAGACGGCTGAGGCGTGGGAAGTTGTTGAGCACGATCGGAATGGTTGTTTCTTTTTGTAAGTCCAACAAACTAAGTTGTTGAGCATGAGATGGCATGCTTCATGCTGTAGCTCTTAGGATAGGTGAAGGTGGGCCGGGAAAAAGGCATCTGCATTGTCGCTAGGCTAGTGACTGTTTATGACACCCACTGGTCCACTGGATCTATTCATGTTTTGTTGGGGGGATCATCTATTGTGGAGGTTCAACATGAACATGAATCCTCCACACATGAAGGGTTTCTTTTTTTTTCCTAAGACACGGTGCAGACGCAAAGCATGTTCAACCCGGATGAGGGATTTTGAACCTGATCCCATGATTTTGGACGTTAGACCTGGTTACTCTCTGAGTCATTCTCTCTCTCTCTCTCTCGCCCTCTGTCTGTGTCTCTCACATGGAAGTGGAAAGCCACCTGTAGAGAAACATGCTCTTCCAGAAGCCTACGTGCCACTCCCTTCCATGATGATTTCAGGCAGGGTACCATTCTTGAATGTGCTTTGAAAAAATCAAGTTCCACCTAGCACCCCCATCAGCAGACATAGCAGACGTCAGGGGAGTCTGGTCAGCCGACGAGACCCTGGTTGATCCGATCTGAAAACACGGCAGTGTGGGTGGACAACCTGCTGGTACCACGGTCAAACAGTTGCTTTTACCCACAGCCATCTCTGAGCTGTGTTTGATACTTCTGCGATTTCCACCTGGGAAGGCTTATTGCGAAAGCCTGAAAGCTCAAGGGCTGAGCGTAGATATCTTCCCCGTCGACAAGGACGACTAGAAGTGACGCGGAGCGTTCGGTGCACTGAACGCCGTGTACAAAGTCTGGTGATTTCAGCTTGTTGCTGGTCAGCCAGGGTTCAGTGGATTCCATTTTCTGGGTGTTGATGGAAAGAACATCCACGTTCCTCTTCTGCTGGTCAGCCAGAGTTCGCTTCAGAGACTATGGATGAGACAATGAGACATGCAGAAAAGAGCGTTGTATTTTTGTGCAGTTTGTCAGTTTGTCGCACCAGCTGACTGTGTCAGTTCCGTCCTGCTTCCGTCGTGTGCACCTCGTCGCACATTCTTTTTTGCGCGTGCAGAAGAAGCACGGCGGCTTCACTGATTGAACTGGTGAGTCCCTCCAGTCATGTCCACATCGCCCGTTTTCTTACGATTTGGGCGGCGTTTTTGGGACCATTGCTCCAGGTGGTCGAACATGGACGTTTTCGTGCGCTGGGAGGGATGTTTTGAAGCGGTGCGACGCTGGCTTTCCAGCGCTCTTGCTGGGCTGGTGTCCTGACATTGATCTCTTGGTTAATGCGTTGTAAACTCTTTCCCGCAAGGACATGGCGATTGAGACCCCGACCGACCTGTAACTGGTCTTTGATCATCTTCTAATTATCACATGGTGGGGTCAACCCCGGGTCAACGGATCTGGGTTCGACCACTAAAGGCGCATGCTGCGGACGCCGCCTGGATGCCGCTACAACAGAGGACACAGCTTTTGAGAGTTGCTTTTGGCGGCAAAGAGATCAGCTTTCGACTGGAATGCTTGAGAACTTGAGGGCATCTGCTTTCCATCACCCGCCCAACCTGCTGCTGCGCTCCTTCGCGGTGTCGTGATTCCACCGAGACGTGCAAAGATCCTCCGCCACGGCGCCGGCCGAGTTCCAGGCTGCGTGATACGGACCGACCGACCGAGTCTTCAGTTCGCCACGTATCCGCGAGGTTGGAACTCCGCTGAATACGACTGCTCTCCTTTTCTCCGCGCTACCTCCTTCACCCGGGGGCTTGACGGGCCCGCCTCCGTGGACGAGAACCGGACCGTGGAGAGAATGGCATCGCACAGAGACCGTGGCGAGAAGGCGAGCTAACAATGCATCGCTCAAAACCCATCCCTCATGAAAAGGCACAAAGAGCATCAAGTCTACAAAGTGCCACTTAGTGATGGAGTGATGATCGAAGTTGGAATGAGACCATGAGGATTTAGACAGACCTGTGTGGGCAGCAGACATGGACTTGGATGGCAACAGCTATAGCTACAGAACCGATGGATGATTATTGTGTTTTTTTCACTGACCATTTCGATCTGGTTCTCATGATTTCCTTTGAACCTGCAGCCATCTCATGGCTTTTTGACCCGTGGCAAATCATCGAACACATTCACCTCGGGTTTCACGTCTTCCCTTTGAGTCCCGAGACCCCACTCCCTCCCCTCCACTCGCCGACTCGAGCCACCTCTCGGCGCGGTGGGTCAGCGCGGTCGGTCAGCGCGGTCAGCGTGTCCAAGAGGTCCGCAGGTGCTGTAGAGCGAAGCACCTGTCCGTGCCCACTTCTTCGGCGATGGGACTTTTGGGCCTTTCCGGAAGGGAGAGAAGAAATTTCACAAGGATTCATGCCAGCAACCTCCAGAATCATCTGCTATACTTCTCCACAAGCAGCTTCATTTCAGAGACCTGTGAATTCAATCCAAAAACCAGATGGCTTGGCTTCTCGATCCAAACTGCGATACTTGGCATAAGGCGTTTTTATCCTGTGAGACGACTCAAAAACACGAATGGTTTGGACATGTTTGGAATCAATCACTTCATTCTCCTTACTGTCCAACCCGAAAAACATGCCAATCGTTCAAGGCAGCAAGCTCTACTCGAAGACCTCTGACCTCCCAAATGCTTCCCAACTGGGTGCAAGTCCCATTTACTGACCTTCACAACTCCTCCGCCTCCGAAAACGGCGCCGACGTGACACGCTGACCGGGGCAGTGACCCTTTCGTCGCGTGGGGTGGTCGTTCCGAAGGGCTGGTCGTTGGTCGGTGCACTGGGCGGGTCGGTGCGAATGAACATCGTGGTGTGCGTCGTTTCGGAGAATGAAGCTCACTGGTCCGTTCGCAAGCACAAGAGATTTTTCATGTTTTGATGGTCTGGAGGTGGCTTGTTGTGGAACGCACGATTACTTGAATGTGCAAATTATGGCGGGCACAGTATAAGTGGTGGCCTTTGTCATGCTCAGATTTTGTGGTAGGCGCAGTGAACGGGAGAAGTCTCACGCGAAAGTTTCGTTTTGGTATGCAATCAATCCCTTCAATTTGCGGCCTGGCTTTGCCTCCAATCAGATACACACACCCAGCCCTCCGCCTCCGCCTCCCCGCATTTGGCCGCTCCCTACTGCAGCGCTGCGTCACCCGCGGGCGTGTGGGAAGACGTCCGATATGAACCCACCCCCGGTCAGACCACTACCTCGACTGTGCCCACAGCGAAGCCGCTCTGGGTGAGGCTTGCACTGCCCTCGGCCGAGTGAGCCTCGCCCGCCAGCGATGCTGGGCCCGTCTGGGGCCGAATGCCCCTGAGCCGGCCCGCACGGACCAAGATTCGAATATTGCAGCCTTCATTGAGGCACAGCACAGCATTTACTTCAGGAAAGTGATAGGGTGTGCCGACCTTGTGATCCCCGTTGCTTATCCCTGGATATTTCCAGAGGCTTTCACTACCCTTGGATTTGTCTGACATGCTTCGGAGACAGATGTTGAGAAACGGGACATGTTATTAGCATGTCTGTTGGAGATGCCGGACCGCTGGGTTTTCATTTTTTCTTTAACAATGTTGGGATATACAGATCTAAAAATGTCAGGCAACCTGGAATTCAAAGACATAATTTTAACAGCTTGGTCCAAAGTGGCTGAACAGGGAAAAACGTTCCTGAACCTCTATGGTGTGCATTCGCTGTGTGGTGGTACTAGCTGCTGCCGAAATAAGAAGCGCAAAAAATCCCAGAACGCTCTGGCAAGTGACAGGGAGGTCTTGAACCACGATGTTGTTTTGTGTCAACTGTTGACCTCCTTTACATAGAGCAAGCAGCAGAACGCAAATGACGGCAATAAGTATGTGGCTCATGTTGAGCACAGCACATCCCCTGCGTAGGGCGCATTGTTGGCCCACTTGGTCCTTTTGATTGGCCCGCCCAATGGCACACTATCCTTCATGAATGGAATTTACGAGCGGACGTATGCATGGAAGCAGCTGGTATCAAAGGTTGGGCAATACTGGCGCTTCGGTGGATCGTTGGGCCGTTCCGCGTGTGCTGAGCTGGAACACCGATGAAAACCGTAGAGCGGGGCGCAGAACGGCAATGGGATGACAGACTGCAAGCATACTGTCCTTACACGAAACTTGGTTCCTGGCGTGTTGCCTTGGACAAGCACGCACAGGTTTCACTTCACTTCACCTCACTTCCCATTCCGCGTCCAGTATCTTCACGGTGTGGGAGAAAGAAAGCACTGATGTATGCCAAGTAAAAATTAAGCGATGCGACGTTCCTCGTAGGCATTGTTTAATCAAATCTGGTGCCGCCACGTCATTTTCGCAGGCGGGCAACCAGGGTGGATATAGGCCGTTATGCTTGCTCCAAGCGACATAGGCATGTGTCAATCGGGCGTCATGTGCTTCACAACACTTCTCATGAGACATCTGGCCCTTTTTTCCAAGCCCGGAACTATTTTGTTTTTAAGCCATGGAACAACTTCATGTCAACTTTTCTTTATGTAGTCCCCGTTGACTGCTTGTCCCACGACACCATGAACGCAAAATGCTTGTTTTTTTCTGAATTTGAGGGTCGCAGAAACCATAACTGCCGAACCACCTGAAATCGACCCAAGAACGGCGGAACCCTCCCCCACCCCATCCCCGGAATCCTTCTTCTCCACCGTGGTGTCGGCAAACACAGGCGTTTGAGGATAAACTTGCCCAGATAATGAATTCAAATGAATTTTTCAGGCTGCGCAAAAGTCTAGGGCTTAAAGAACAGTTGAAGACCGACATTGGTTTGGATGAAATTGCTTGGCTAGAACTAAAGGCATGTTTATTTGCTCCTAGATCCCCAGCGTGAAGAATTTTTGCGCCCGTGCCAATTTTGGTGACATGCATTGGAATGCAATTGTTAATACGGGAAACCCAACGAGGAAGATCATCAACTCTTCAAGATTGTACATTTCCATAGAACTGCTTTGATGCAAAAACACCGTGGCTTTTGGGACCCTCCAAATCGATACGCCCAAAGCCCGGGATCTCGGGCCATCCAAGATTTAGATGGGAGCTCTTCTACCTGACCCTGCTGTGAATAGATACAGGCAGCGAAGGCTGGTGTTCGTCAATCTTCCCATCCTTCCCACTCTTCTCAGTTTCCCAGTGTGTTTCACGAGCGAAAGAATCATATTTTAAATCGTGACACCTGATAGCAACCCAGCGTCCGAGACCACAGCATGACTGCACATCAATACTGTAAACATGGCCTAAATGAATCTGCAATTTCGAGAACTATCTGGCAAGTGAGGAACAAACCCTGGACCACGCTATGCGTACCTTATGTCACCCCGGGGAACTCTTTTCCATGACGAAACAAATTAGAGTGCAAACAAAACTCACAAACGGCACATACCCCAGGTCAGGGCACCCCGTAGACACACGCACACAGACACAAAACAGAAAGAATGAACGTGCAAAGATGAGATGAAGGCTGTGAATGACTTCATTTTTTCAGCCCTGGATCCTTCTTCTCCACAAACCGCGCCCGCACACCCAGGCACGCCAGCACGATGTGGCCAAAAAGACTGAGATGAGGTCTTAAGTTGTTTATTTCGGTGAGCCTTGAACATTGTTTTTTGGCAAGACGACCTTCCAAAAACACACAGCTGCTATTGAATTGACATGTCCCTTGCGTAGGCTTTCTTCTGTGGAGCCATCTGGTGGCCCACTGTAAGAACCACAAACATGTCGGGCACTGTGATTTTAATTTCGTTTCTT